AAGAAGTATTAGTTGGAAGAAAAGCAGAATTTCTGACAGAAGACTTAAGAAAACTCTTCTCTCTTTGCAATCCTATCTCATATTTGAAGGCACAGCATTATGTACATTTTTAGCCTTTTAAAATATCAGCATGCCCACACACTATCTCAGATTAAACCAAGGAGAAAATGACACATTCTGAAACCATTTTCTAAAGCTCCTTTTCCTGATAACGCTCAGGCACTCACAATCAATTTAATGAGTTTCTAAAAAGCCCAAACAACTCTCCATAAAGAGACAGAATTGTTCACAACAGCCTGCAGATATTTCTAGATTTTGCAAGCAATACTAAGAGTCCTTGCTATTTACATTTAGAAAAGCTAATGTGTTTTCAACATCTATATCAGAAAGAAATACTACTCAGGGCTTTGGCTAATTAAATTGAGGAACAATTTGAAAAACCCCAAAAGATCCAGTCCAGCAGTCCCCTGATTTCAAACAATTTAAAAATTAGTTCATTTTTCCCTCACCAAGTTCTTTGCACAAATATGTATTCTCCTAATCTATTCCTACTTGAAAATTCTTAAGATAATAAAGAAAGTAAACACCCACAGAGAATAAGAAGTCATTTCTTCCTAAAACATAGGGCAGCAAGATAAACAGTGAAAAGAACTAAAAACAAATAGCACAACTCAGGAAGATCACAGAACACAGACTGATGGATAGAAAACTTAACAGGAGGAATTTTCAGTCCTTAAGGATGAACTCATTTGTGGTGAGTTTCAGGCATTCTCGGGGAGTGATCAGCATAGCTTTGGGGAAACTTGAAGCGAACACAGTATCAGTGTAATAACATTTTCTGGTTAGGCTGTTTGACATCAGACCTAAAACATGTGATTCAGAATTTACACACTTTATGATTTTATGATCCAGCTCTTTCAATATTATGGGACTGTTCTGATACTTGAGAGCAAGCAGCCTGACTTGCGTAAGACAACAGCATTTTAGAGCAAACCAAAAAACCTTGAATGAACCCTACGATGAAAGATGACAGGGAATAAGAAGGCTATGGTAATCACCTGAATTTGTTACTTTCAGACATTTTCTGTATGAGTCTCTTACCCTAGAATATCTGCCCTCACCCTTAACCAGCATAATCGAATATTCACATTCAGAAAAACCCTGACCTTAGCCAATACTTGCTACTCTTAAACCACATATCTCCCCTTCCCCCGACATAAGACTTGGGAAATGAGGGTGATTTTAGTCATCTGGAAAGAGTGAAACATGACATTGGTCTTTAAGCACTTTCTTCAGAACCGTTGTCATTTAAACTCTTTTACCACAAGTAAAAAAGGCCGTGCTCACGGAACAAATTCAAGTTCACCCTCAGTTGTATCTGTAACCTGGGAATTTCTCATGAGCAGGGTGGCACAGGACAGAAGCTTTCATGGAAGAAAGAGTCAAAGCACTTTAAAAAAAAAAAAAACTCCCACTTTTTTGGCAAGTGTAAAAATCAAAAGGTAAACTCTACCATATGAAAATTTCGTGTTCTCAGCACAGTTACTTCACCTACAACTAGCTAACTTCTTCTTCTTCTTCTTCTTTTTTTTCACAAAAATGCATGTGTTAACACCAAGGTTTTGAAATACCATTGTTATATTTGGAGGCATTCCTAGGTGTAAGTAAGGGTTTTCTCCCCCATTTTTTAGATACACATTTTTACTGGGAGTCAATCTGTTGTGTATGAAATGACAACAATTTTGTTAGAGCAATTTGGCTTTAAAAGTTAGTACAGGTTCTACTGTAAAATTAAAATTAGAAACCAAACCTTTTTTTTCTTGAAAGCAAGAAATAATTTTCCAGAATCTAGAAATAATTGCCTCTGGAAAAAAGAAAATAAAAATGCCAGACAGACAAGGGTAAAAAAAAGCTCAGAATCTTTGCCCTGGAAACAAAGGTCTCTCACATTGCATTTTCTATTTTTCACAAGGAAAAAACCAAATAGCTCTCTAGTCCCCAAATGAAATATGTAACAAGAACTGGAAACATGCAATATCTTAAATATTAATAAATCTAAAGGAACACAGGTATTGCAATTTTTTTTTTCTTGTTAGTATGAATCCAACCTACTGTGCTGGTGAATTGACAGAGATCAGACCCTGTGTCTATAGCATCAGAAATAGGATGATGTGTTTGGAAACTCCGGTTTGAGCTAAATAATTCTCCTTCTGACAGGGTCTGTTAGCATCATTAAAAGCATCATGAATAACCCTGGATCATGAATAGCATAGTATATTTTTGAGTCTAAAAATCCTTCATTGATGTTGGCTTGAAAGCTGTTTAATTAACTGTAAGATGCCAACCAATCTCTTTATCAAAGCCAGCTGAAAACAAAACTGAGAGAAATAGCTTGTGGTTTCACAAAAAATGTATTTACATGAAGTATATTTTAAAGTGAGTCCGATCATTAGGTACAATGTCATCTATGCCGTGCGGTGGATTTGACATTTAAAGATGTCAGAGGTTGTCAGATTTATCTCCAGCCTATACTTAGTTTAGAAGTAACCACTTCTGTGAGCAGATCTTGTTTTGTTGATTTCCAGCCTAGAAATCTGCAAAGATTTAACTCTTATTTACTGAACACAGATCTTTCCATGTCCTCTCACTTCCTTACTTAAGACTAACTAAAAAGAAAGTGGGGCCAAGGGTGACAAAGTGGAATTGAAGCCCACTTTCACACTGGGTCACAGGGACTGTGGCAGAGCGAGCAAACCACGGTGAACTGAGCACAGAGGAACAGGGTTATTGACAGGCATGATGTTTACTAAAACAGAGAGGGCTCCAAACCCTGACCCACTACTTCACGCAGCATGTCTTGGAAACAACATTCTGATAAGAACTGCTCTTCACTTAACACTCAACATTGTCCACTTGGAGGAAAACCCAGAGTGAGACGAGAAGCTTTACCACGATGAAAACTGCCTCAGCAAAGTCCCCTCGAAGGAGCAGTAAGATACCCCAGAAAAACATCAGCCTTTAGACATCTTCAGATCAGGAACATTGTTTGATAGTTTTGTCAGTCTATTTAGTGACCATGTATCCATGCTTTACATTTTATTGAGATGGTTTAGTGAATCACCACCACTGCACTATCACAAGAAATGGGTTTAAAGAATGTATTAGTCACTCATTCACTCTTTACCAAAGATAACTTTTCATCTTGTCTAATTTGTTGAAAATGAAAATTAAGGTCAAAGACAAATTCAGCTTGAGAGAAGCCGTAGCAGACCCAAGTGAAATTTGCAGCCAACAGCACCCTTGAACCACACAACCTCATGCCTGGGACCACACACATCTTTCAAAATGAAAGGGAAATGGTCGTTGATGTTACAGGACCAAAATGTACATTCTAAATAAGAACTCTGTTCCTCAGGACCTTTCTACCTTAATTCACCTTGTAGCGGTCAAAGGGTACCAGCCTCAGGATATTGATTCAGGAATTCACACGCAGTTAGAAACAGAATTTGTAAAGGGGTACAGAAAAAAATGTTCTCAGAGACTGCCACTACTCATCAATTACTTTTCATAGTTTGTTTTACAAAGGGCTTCTCCCCAAACCCAAGGCTTTCGTTGTTAATCATTTTTTTTAAAGATGTAGCATAAAATCTGTCCATATAGGTAGGAGAGCCAGCCCGGAGGAAGTCCCCACCAGGGCCTGACACAGCAGCTAGAAAAGGAAGCATAACCGGGGCCCGAGGAGCAGAGGACAAGAATGTGTGCTGTCTAGCTTCTGCTCTGTGACTGTCTAAGTGAGAAGCAGCCATTTGATTCATTTTCTAAACTCAAAAACCACTGGGCTTCATTTATTAAGAGTTCTCTTCTTGCCTGTGTGGTGGCTTTCCTTTGGGAAGTTACCAAAACCAGTGCCTGAGTACCCGGAAGGCTGGAATCTGGGGAGGGGTGGGAGAGAGGGGCTTCCCTGTCCCCCAAACCCAGGGGCCTCCGCTTCTAGATTCTGAGAGAGCTCATCCTGCCTGTTCCTTTGACATCCTGACGAAGTTCAAAGTCGGTGCACAAAGGTCCCAGGGACAGCTAATCAGCCAATTTCCTTTACGGATCAGTTTTGAGAAGGACAGATAAAGAAAAAAGGGCTTATGAGACAGCACTAAAGTACTTTTGATGGGATGATTCTAGAATGGGCAGGCAAGCCTGCGAAACCCGATGTGAAATCTTCCAAACATTTCAGCACATCAGAGGGATTCCCGCATTGGCAAAACCCTTCCCACCGGCCTGTGGCCTTTGTCACAGACCAAAAGGCCAGGAGGTGACAGGCCCTGCCACGTGTGCCTCCCTTCTGGGATGCCTCTGTCCTTGCCACTGTTCCCACTATGTTGATTATGTGACACTCCCACCAGGCTTGCTTTCTGGGGTCACCTGTTTCTAGGGAAGGAGCCCTAATCACTTCAAAGGGACGAGAGCAGCCGCTGTCCACACTTGGCAGTGAGCAATGTCTCCGTTTGGTGACGAGGCAGAAGCATTCCTTCAGAACAGCCTCGTTGGCACTTTCCCACCGCAGGCTGGCAATACTTGCCCCTGCTGAGAGGCATCTCCTCCACACTGGGGTCGGCGCCTTTGCGACCCATCTCGGATCTGTACCAGCTGTCCTCGTCCCCCGCCGCCCTGCCCAGGTGACGGCGGACGATGAGCAGAGCTCAGCTGCAGCTCTCACTGCCCTGTCAGCCTTTATTGACTGTTTTTTTTTTTTCTTTTTGTTCTTGGAGAGAAGCAAACCACATCGTCAAAGCATTTAAAAACACAAACCAAAGGAAGCTGGGTTTCCAGGCTCTAAGTAGATGCTATTTACCCACAGTTTATTTCCAGGAGTCGCTTGGAAACCATTGTCATTTTTCACTCGGATTCGGTGAGAAGCCTGGCATTTGGAGTGGTACCGGTGATCTATATTTGCCTCTTGCCAAAGGGAAGCAAAGCCCAGTCTCTGTCCTCAAACCCAGACTCACCTCAGCTCCCTGGACGTGGCTCCCCCAGCCCTCTTCCGTGCCGTGCTGGTGGCCAGAGTCCAGGCCCTGCTGGTGGCCGTGACCCCGGAAACTGGTGGAGATGGAGTGAGCCTTTCTCTCTTTAGATGCCACCACCCCACACTTGAATGGAAGTCCAAATGTCATTTTGTGGTTTGAAAGTCACCTCCTGTCACCTCTGCCTGGGACATGTTGTCACCTGAAACACGTAGGCCTCCGAGTAGTTGGGTGACCAGTGTCGAGACAGGCTCGGTCCAGCTCGATTGTGTCTTATCCTCTCGCAGCGTGGTGTTTGGTCCGAGTTGGCTCTGGGTGAGAATCTGATAGATGGGCCCACAAGTGACAGATGGATGCAACTTTTCAGGTAGCAGGAGCCTGGGACTCACCACAGTTCCAGGGGAGGCACAGATGGGCCCCACGAGTTGACAAAGACCGACAGCTGCCGTTCACTGAGGCCCCGTTCTAGGCGCTTTGTGTTCATGATCGACTTGCCGCAAACTTCTGAGGTTGATCCTCTTGTCACCCTCACTGAGGGAGAAGGGAGCCATGGGGTGGAGAGGGGGAGGCGGTGAACTGGCTGCAGATGACAGCAAGTGAAGAGTCGGGAAGGATGGCTGACCTCTGTTGCCCCAACCCACATCGCTGCCTTCTTACCACCTCATCACCGTGTAAATCAGCAGCCCCCACCCACAGCCCATGCAGCCCCTTCCACAGAGGTTGTTGGTCCACAGATCCGTGTGTCTGGCCGGACTGTAATCTCTGCAGGACACCTGCAGCTGGCTGACCCTGCCTTCCCTCCCTGAGCATCCTGTCTGGAGCATCATGGACACCCCATCTGTGTTCAAGAAGCGAGTTGCCATCTCCTGCCCATGGAGCCCTTCAAAGCCAAGAGGGCACTGTCTTCAGTATTGGATGTTTGTTCTTACATGAAGGAAGAAATTCGAACCACAGGTTCATCACTCCCACCTGGAGAAGGCTCCTCTCTCCCAGCATGCCCTTTGGGGAGCCTGGGTCTCCCTCCTTTAGCTTTCCTTCGTCCCTGAGCATCCCCCAGGGATCCCTCCAGGCCTGTTGCGAGTCCGAACAGCTGCACTGCATTTCCTGTCTTCCATGCTCCCACTCCCGACCCTTCCCTGGAAAGACTGGGGAGGTGGCCTATGGGCATCAGACCCCTGGGCTCAGCCTCCCAGACCAGTGGTGAACACACCTGGAGGAGGCTTATGTGTTCATAAAAGTCTCAGAGCAGGATTCAGGCCTCTTTTCAGAGCAAACTGTGGGAGTTGGGAGTAGAGAAGGTGGGGTTTTGAGACAAGCCCGTCCCTCCAGCAGGCAGCTTATAAGATTTCTCCCAGGGGAGCCTGAGGACCATTTCTCCTTAGCCAGTCATCTGCTTGGCCCGCGGTGTTGCCTTGGGAAGCAGACAGTCATGGACCACCCAGCGCACCATGGCTTTTCTCTTCCTTCCCTTCATTTGAGCTCTGACCATCTCTTTCCCCAGGACCACCCAACACAGACCACACATGGCCTGCTTGGTGGGAGGGACATCCTCTCTGAGTCACTCCATCATTGGAAAAAATAATAAAATAATTGTGTTTCTGTTATTTGCTGCTTCCCTTGGCCTTCTCTTCCTGTAAATGAATATATCCAGGGTGGTTTCACTGTTTAATTTGTGTCTTTTTCTTTTTTTAAGCAAAAACACAAAAATATTTTTCTTATATTTTTTAAGCAAGTTATATACATTGTCTACAAAAAAAAAAAAGTTCAGAAAAAAGAGAAGATGAGGACTCAGGAAAAAAAGCAAGAGGACAAAGAGGAAGGGGAAGGGGAGATATCTGGGAAGAAAGGAAGGAAGGGGGGATGGAAGAAAAATCCACCCAGACACTGAGGCTCCTGCCTAGAGAATCTGAAGGAAGCCCGGGCCTCCTCTCTGGTTCAGATACTTATTCCACGCAGTTCTTAAAAAGCAATTGTAGGCACTTGTCTGGTGGTCCAGTAGTTAAGAATCTGCCTGCCAGTGCAGGGGATGGAGGTTTGATCCCTGTTCCAGGAAGATCCCATCTGCTGTGGGGCAGCTGAGCCCGCATGCCCCAACTACGGACCCGAGAGCCACAGCCAGAGAAAGCCCACACGAAGACCCAGCACAGCCGAACTAAGAGTGATTCACAGGATCCTTTCAAGTTGGGAAAAGGTGATCTTCCCTTGTGATAAAAACATGACTTTGCCTACCTAGCATTGTGACAGGACTGTTTTAAAAACCAGTCAGTACATGAAGCCAGGGAGAATGGTCTCAAGACTGTCAACACTGGAAACCCCTGCTATGGGAATAAATCTCCTTGCCTGCTGGGGAAAAACAAATCCAGCCAGAAGACGCCAGGAGCCAGCAGGGGCATCTCCGGGCACTTTTAATAAACTACTGTTATCATGGGAAATGTATAGATGTTAATGACAATTCTGCAACTTGTTTGAAAAGTCCAAAGATGTAAAAACAGGAAAAGTGCACCGTTATGACTATCCGTGTCAGTCCTGACTGTGACCTCCAGAACATGATGTAACAGTCATGAAGAGGCTTTCGGAGGAACACCGGTGGTCACGTTTGGGATGACGGGTGTTAAGGTGACAAAAAGCTCAGTTTTAGAAACAGCTCCTGATTCACAGGCAGAGGTGCATGTGTAAACCTGGCTTCCCTAATATCGTTTGGCTTGAAGGGGTGTCTGCAAAAAAGCCATATAGTTTCTTGGGCCCGCACCTGGCCCAACACTCCACCAACACACCCCTTATTTGCTAGCTCATCCTGTTCATCAACTTTTCTTCTAACCTTCTGGGCAGTGTCACCAGAATCCATCTCCAGCTCTTTTTCTGATGAGTCCATTTCACACTCTGACAGATACACCCCTGTCAGGAAGCTAATCTCTAATATGAAATTCCAGGATGTCCTTTCTTGGTTTCACCCCATTACCCTGGTCACCCTTCCTACCACACTAAATTCTTTTTTTTTCTCCTAGACCTCAGTCACTTTCATGTAGACGAGTTCTATTCCTTTTCCTGCCCAAGCTCCATTCAGACAAGATCATCACATTTAATTCTCAACAGCCTTGGACCACCAGGCTGTCCTCCGTGACTTTCCTCCAGCCACTCAGCTCCTTTGCCTTCCTTCTCCTCCATGAGGTTTTTTCTTTTTTTCCCACCCTAATGTCTGTGTGGTCCACTTCTGAAGGAACTCAGACCCAGAGACCCTCCTCAGATTAAGAGAAATGTACTTTCGCCTAAGATTCCCAGTGGGGCTTCCCAGGTGGTTCAGCAGTAAAGAATCTGCCTGTCAGTGCAGGAGACACAGGTTTGATCCCTAGTCCAGGAAGATCCACTGGAGTAGGAAACAGCAACCTGCTCCAATATTCTCACCTGGAAAATCTCACGGGCAGAGGAACCTGGCGGGCTACAGTCCACGAAGTCGCAAAGAGTCAGACATTACTGAGGGACTAAACAACAACAAGAGTCCCAGTGAGCTGAATTACAAGACTAACCACAGCTTGGAACAATCCTGATGTTGAAGGTGGTAGATATTTCTGGCTCCACATTGGGACAGTGTGGGAGGGCCACTTATAAATCCATCAGAGGTGCTGTCATTCGTGCTAGACTTTTCCGAATGGCGTTTCCGCGGGCGAAGGATGCGATGAAGCAATCGCTGTCTCCAGCAAGATGTATTTTAGAAAGCGAAAGGCAAGCTGGCTTTTTAGTTGTAGTGCTGCCTCATTTGGAAAGAAAAAGTATGTCATGCACTTGTTTCACTGAGATGCCTGTCTCACACTTTAGGCATTTGTGGTCCCTAGCTAAGGCAATTTCTTCATTTCATTGCGGCCTCTACCCAGAATTATTAATGCTGACACTGGGCACAAATGTGTTACAATTAAACCTTGCAGGGGTGCGGCATTTACTCTCAGGAAGTAGGTAAATTGTCTACAAGTGGGACTTCAGCTCGTGTGAAATTAAATATAATGTGTTAGTTCCAACAAAGTGGACTTTTTAAAAAATCAAACATGGCTCAAGAACTTGTTTGATGATGGGGATACACATGATAGTAAAAAAATAAAAGAATATCATAGAAAAGGAGATTCTATGATAGAATGATATGGTAGAATTCTGCGATAGAATCTCTTGAGAGATCCTATTCCAAGGCCATAAAATGTTTATTGACATTCATTTTATGAGGGCTTACCTCCCAGGCTGACTTAAACCACTTACAAACATCATGTGACTAATTCTCACATACATACTTCCCTTGGTAAGATGGTACACTTGACTTAGCAGATGTAAACTAAATATGAATGAAGGTTCAAAAGCATGGATAGATCCCATCAAATGCAAAACACACATCAAGGGACACTGTCTGTGCCCTGGGAGAGCCAGGGGGCTGCAAACTGCCACCAGGAACCACTTCAGTTTCAAGCACAATTTTCCCATGAAATGAAAGCCCATCACAAGGTTGGGAAATCGGCTGCAGGTCTAGGGGCCTTCCGTTAGTGACGTATCCTTCTGACTCACGGACTGTCTGGATTCAAGACTGCAGGATGAGAAGGTCCTAGTGACAGGGCTTTAACACAAAGCTAATCTAACCAATGGCATGCTACTCTGAACAAGAAGGAAAGGTTGTTCCAGGGAGAAGAGGCCATGTGTCGTCTCAGCGCTCTGGACTAAGCTTCCCCGATCCCTAGGGGTGAGGCACGCTCCCTCCCAGCCTCAGCTCTCGGACCTGTGCAACCAGAAGTCTGGACTCGATCGTGGCTCTTGAGATACTCTTCCCCCCTCCATAATTTCTATAATTCGTTGCAAATTACATCCACCATCTAACTTTATTATACACAGTGATTCAAATGCCTTATTTCCATGCATGTATTTTTTGTTGTTGTTGTTGTTTTTACTGTGGCTAAATATACATAACATAAAATTCACTATTTTAACTAGTTTTAAGCTTCCAATTTGGTAGCATGAAGCACATTCATTGTGTTGTATGACTCTCACCACTATCCATCTCCAGAAATTAGCATCATCCCAAACAGAAATCTGGTACCCATTTTAAGCAATAACTCTCCATTCCTCTTTGTCCCCAGCCCCTGGTAACCCCTCTTATACTTTCTTTCTCTTTGGATTTGACAGCCCTAGGTATTTTATATAAGTACAATCATACCATATTTTTATATTCACAAATATTCTCAGCATGGTAAGGATTAAATAGGACTATGGTTTATCTGGTATACTGTTCTTTTCCTGTCCTGCAACATGTAAGATATATTAAAACAAAGTGGCCTTCTTTAGGGTCACTGATATGAGCAATTTTTCCACAGATTTGAAAAATGGAAGT